TGAATGCGGAAATGGATGAGGGAATGCCGGAAAAATGGATGAGTGAATGCCGGGAAAAGGGATGAGTGAATGCCGAAAAAAATGGATGAGTGAATGCGGGAAATGGATTGAGTGAATGCCGGGAAAATGGATGAGGGAATGCCGAAAAATGATGGATGAGTGAATGCCGGAAAAATTGAAAATGTGATGGTGAGTGAATGCGGAAAATGGATGATGCGAGGGAAATGAATGAGGGAATGCCGGAAAAATGGATGAGGGAATGCCGGAAAAATGGATGAGTGAATTGGATGAGCCGGAAAAAATGGATGAGTGAATGCCGGAAAAATGGATGAGTGAATGCCGGAAAAATGGATGAGGGAATGCCGAAAAAATGGATGAGTGAATGGCCGGAAAAAGGGATGATGAATGCCGGAAAAATGGATGAGGGAAATGCCGGAAAAATGGATGAGTGAACTGCCCGGAAAAATGGAATGGGTGAATGCCGGAAAATGGATGAGTGAATGCCGGAAAAAATGGATGAGTGAATGCCGAGAAAATGGATGAGTGAATGCCGGGAAAATGGATGAGTGAATGCCGAAAAAATGGATGAGTGAATGCCGGAAAAATGGATGAGTGAATGCCGGAAAAATGGATGAGTGAAAAATGCCGAATGGATGATGATGATGGATGAATGAATGCCGGAAAAATGAGTGAGGATGATGCCGGAAAAATCGGGAAAATGGATGAGGAATGGAAAAAGTGGAAAATGAATGCCGAATGGATCCGGGTAACATGAATGAGTGAATGCCGGAAAAATGGATGAGGGAGTGCCGGAAAAATGGATGAGTGAATACCGGGAAAATGGATGAGTGTATGCCGAAAAAAAATGAATGAGTGAATGCCGAAGAACTGATTGACTGTCAACGAAAATGAGTGAATTCGGAGGAAAATGACAGACTGCCGAAGAATTGGAAGGAGGAATTTTGAACTGCGCACATAAGACACCATAATGAGAACGAAATTTTGGATTTTAGTATGCATTGCTACAAGAATTAAAATCGTTGCTAAGGTATTAAACGAACAAGAGTGTCAGTTGAACGAAGATAAGATTCTGGGGCTCTGGGGGTTCAGTCTGTGCTCACCAAGGGGCATTTCTCCCCCCCCCCCCGCCTCTTATCAGTCTTATCTCGCACATGCGCATTGTTCCCGCGGCGCCGTTTCGATATGCGGTGGACGTCTGTGTGGTTGCGTCATCGCGGTGTTCGGAATTTACACGTCGAACAGAGAACTTCCGAGGAGGGAATGCAAAACGAAGGGGCGATTGGGAGGTAGGAATGAAAGACGAAAGCAGGGGAACGCGAGGTATAATTACAAACAGTAGAGGGAACGCAAAGGGACAGGCGGAAAAGCCGTTCGAGGATTTTTGTGTGCAAGGGGGAGACTTTTGTTGTGTGCACGCTCACGGACGTAAACTTCACCATAATGACACGCAGACGTGATCACGCATACAAATTCACAGACCGCAGGACACGCATTCATACACCATTGTGCACGTTCGCAGACATACACAGGCCACGTGTACACGCCCGCAGGCATACACATACGCCAGAGAAATTCCCATAGGAATATATACACCTGTAGACTCCCGCGCGACCAGCGTCGAGTGCAAGTACAGACACCCGCATGCAGTACAGGCGAATGTGTACACCCCACCCCTCCCAAGCACCCACACAAATGCATTTTTGCGAAACGAAACAATGGTTTTAGACACACGCCGGCACCAAGGAACACCCTCGCCGACGTGTACTACCGCAGTACATTGTTATTACACTTTTAAATATGAGAACTTCCGCCGTAGTCGGAGCGCGCGCACCGTTTCGCTCTCTTTGTCCTTTTGCTCTCGGACACCCTCGAGAACGGACATTTTCACCAGTTCAGTTACATGCACGAACAAATGCGTTATCAAGGATACGTCGAATATGCGTTATGATTTATACATTTACTCGCGCGCATTCGAGAACAGGGGGGAGGTCGAGACAGTTGGTTTGCGTCGCCCTGTTGCAGACGGTGTTATCAAAACGAGACGAGTTCGAGACTTTTTTCGGATTTCCGTGGCAGTAACGCCTCCCACCCTTTAAAAAATAAAGTCCGTGACCACTTGGATCAAGGGGAAGGGAGGACCGCCATAACGTAATGTTTTTTTTCTTCTTCTTTTTGATGTACTCGAAATCCTCGTACATCTGGCAACTGCCTGTGGTGGTGTCATGCACGGAGAATACGGTGTTATAAGTCCCATTTTTCTGTTATTTTCATCGGGATTTTCATATTTTTTATATTTCGTCGATGGATGATAGACGGTTTAATGTCATATCGGTAAAAGTGAGAACTCGAAAAGGGTTGAATTCCCGGTGTTTTAGTGCGCGTTTGAATTCCGTAATGTATTGATTAATAACACACTGGCAACTGCAGGCGGTTCCCATGGTTCTGCACCGCCATGCTGTCAGTCAGGTGCAAGTGTGCT